TTTGGTTGCCGGCCGGCTCAGTGGTCTATCGGTTAAGGGCTCCAAGTCGAGACTGGTAGGTCCTGGGCTCGAATCTCGCGACTGCGGGATCGTGGATGCACACTACTGATGAGTCCCATAATAGGACGAAACGGTCGTCCAGTGTTTCCAGGTTTTCGATGGTGGTCTAGCTTCAATGGACCCATGATTTCAACCATGAAAATTAAAAAAGTCTCATTCTTGTTGAAATTTTATTGTTTTTAATGTAAAAATTCAAAAATTCAATGTTATTCCATAATTGCAAAAGTAATTCGTCTATTCCTTTTGCCTGACATGAACGATGAATTGTCGTTAACTTTATAAAACTAAAATACAACCACTAATTTGTGGTAGGTATTCGTACTTTTTTATGGAAACATTGGTTACCGTTTATTCGCTACTGTTGCTTATGTATTAGTATAAAATGAAAAAAATTTTACTTTTAGTTCATTGTCTGCCATAGAATCATTTTGGCTGTTAATATTCTTTAATGTGTGTCCAAAATGTAATTTGAGCACTGGCTTAGAGGTTTAAACATTTGGGCTTCAATCAGTGAGCTGCATATATCACTTTTACTGATGTTATCAACCTAATATTGTTATTAGTCTCGAAATAAAGAGTATCTCAAATACGTTACAAGAAATTGCGATGATTTATAAGCTACTATAATGAATTTGAACAGTCATTACTATATTTTTGAATTGTGACAGGCGATCCCATTGAGGACACGTCAGTTGCGTCTGTCTTCATTATGTTGTTGAAAATCAAAGTCGCACCTAATATGTGTACTCTTAGCAAATGCATCGATAACACTAACAGTTTTAGCATAAAGTTTTGACAAACATGTACTAACAAATAGATAAACTATGATGTGCGACTATAAGCATTAGATATGTAACGCATAAGGCTCAGATATAATAAAAATGACTTATTAAACGCATTTCTTGATAAAAAAAACCTTGCAAGTTAACAACTGTCTGTTGAACTTTTCGTCGTCAATCAAAATTTAATCTTCATTAAAGAAATTCCCACTATTTCTTGTATCAAATTTACACCTGTTCTTCAGATTAGTTACTTTGTTTTCTGTACTACTGTTCTCCTACAGTCTGTATCATATCAAATCCAACGACACCGGAAAAAAACGCTAGCCAACCCTAAAACGTTAATTACAGCGTTTTATAGGTGTTTTACTTTTGCTTTAGATTCTCCTGGTTTTTTTAGAATACATAGGGTCATACTAAACAGATATTTTTTTAAAGTCATTTAAGTATGATCTGTCTTGGTTATTTGAAAGTGGCCATGAGTTTTAATTACGCATACTGTTTTGTCCGATGATTGTGTGACACATGTACATCTTGTACAACTGCCCCGATATGGCCATTTTGTAGAATAGATGGATTATGTTTAGAAGCGAAACCCTTACTAAGTATTCTATTGCTTTTGAATAGGTTGGTGACTATTTGGACTCAACAGATGAGTGAATAACGCGTTGTTAACTGAAGTCAATGATACTTGTCTCTAGTCCTAATGTGATTATTCACCCTGTGGTGCAGGAACATTCAACTGAAGAGACCCCAATAGGACTAAATGAAGTCCTGGGTTCCACTACTAGTCATAATCTATTTCCTAAAAGTTTTGTTTGTATGTTAGGAATATAGCACCATTACCTATTTATATTCGATAGTATTTATGTTTGATTATATTTCCTTGAAAAAGCTTGGACCAGATTTCCAGACGAAACGTTGGATTTACTTGAGATTCATTCGCTGAGATTTTACAAATATATTCTTCCTATTTGATGTCTCACATAAACTCAGAACTTAAATACTGTGAAACTATTCGATCTACTTAAGACGAAAGTTTATATATAGCACCAGTGTTACTGTACAGAATACTTATTGTAACAATATTATAGAAATCTTCCCATTCTTATAAAAATAATCTTTTATTGTAAAGAATTCACACTTTTCGTTCATTATCACCGACTTACACTTTGTAAAAACTGTTAACGATTTCTTACATAGGGCTCCACGGTATTCGAATTAAACAGATTTCTCAGCTAAAACATTTCACACAAATTACGATAGTACATCTATGTTTCTTGTTTACTAGAAATTAGATTTTCATCATAATAAAAGAAGGCTTGATTACTGAATAGTTGTAGATGTAACTCACTAATTTAAATGACTTTCTTTATAATAATGGCATCAATATCAATAAAGTTTAGAATTTATTTAATTGTACTGTTGTTTTTGATTGTTAATTATATCTTCTCTGCATAGTAACCAAACCATATGATACAACTATATTCAAATGAAAAGGTTTCGTAGGACGTTTTGTGTATTTTGTATGGGGTATTTTTTATTACGAATTGATTTTAATCATAGTATCATTACAAATCAAAAGTCTTGGGTGAATAAACTTCCTATGTTCTCTTTATTTTACAAACTACTTATCCATATGTTATTAGATGAATTCATGAGTAACATTGATCATAAAGATAAGTAAATAACTTTAGTCAAATCAAATTATTTATGTCTTCTTCTCATGTAATGAAGGACAAAATCTAACTTAAAAAATACATCTAATAAAGATGTAAACAATTATAATAACTAAAATAATCTTTTTTGATCTATGTCTCAATTGTTGGCTTTACATCTGTTAAATATCGAAATTATAATAATTGTCAAAGTACTTTTCACACATAGCGTTTTTTTTAGCGAGTTGATTTTCTACGGGATGGGGTCGCTAACCCCATGCCCAACCCTCCTCCTTTACCCGGGCTTGGGACCGGCAGTAGCCCCTGGAGGAGCTACAGGCGGAGTTTTAGCGTTTTTTTAGCGAGTTGATTTTCTACGGGATGGGGTCACACATGTATAAGCCAGTATATATTTAAAGTAAAAAAAAAACTATGCTAAACTATTTCTATTCAATTTCTTTTTTATGAATGAGTTCCTAGATCACATTGAACGATGGTTTATTTCTACTGATGTGTTACTAAATCCTTCTTAATTCCAAACGTTAGTATACGACGTAAACACTTTCACTCTGTTGAAATTGTATGAAAATGTATTGTTGAGAATTGTGTAAATGTCAATTACATTAGTATTTTCACAGTTGAAAGCATGAGTCAATTGAAGCTAGACCACCAAGGAAAATCTGGAAGCACTCGAAGCATCGGCTCAATGGTCTATCGGTTAAGTGCTCCGGCGCGAGACTGGTAAGTTTTGGGTTCGAATCTCGCGAGGCGAGTTCTTGGGTGCGCATTACTGAGGAGTCCCACAATAGGACGAAACGGCCATCCAGTGCTTCCAGATTTTTCTTTGTGATCTAGCTTCAATTGACTCATGCTTTCAACTATGAAAACACTAAATCCCCGCAAAACTCCTTCTACTTATATTAGTGTTAGTTTTATTCTAACCACTCTTATGTTCCTATGTTTTGTTGATATGAAAGCTTTCGATTGAGTATGTAACGGGGACCGCGTTTAACTCAACACTTTTACAATTTGTAAATTCTTGTTTACAATTTATTGTTTATACAGCCCCGTGAAATATTTTGAAGAATTTTGCTGTATTGCATAGAGCGTTATTAATAATTAGTAATGAATAGTGAGTAATTTAACGTCATAACATTGTCAAATTCATTATTGTATGCCTTATTTGGATTTTATAAAATTTAACAATAATTGTGGACTTGTAACTGTAGAGATTGATGATGAAGTTGTCGATAATAATTGTTCAGAAGTGGTTTTGTGGAGATTTCAGTATTTTCATAGTTGAAATCATGAGTCAATTAAAGCTAGACCACCATGGAAAACCTGTAAGCACTGGATGGCCGTTTTGTCCTATAATGGGACTCCTCAGCAGTGCGCATTCACGATCCCGCCTCGCGAGCGATATTCGAACCCAGGACCTACCAGTCTCGCGCCGGAGCGATTAACCTATAGACCACTGAGCCGGCTGGCATCTGATGGTGTTAATGTCTACCTTCAACCAATCCACGAACTCTGAGTAACCGTGGTTGAACTGCACTGGTCACTGCTTCTCCCTAGAACTCCAGGAAATATCTCTTGAAGTCAGTCACTAGTGAGCATTTGAGGAGTCCTATAATAGGACAAAACGGCCGTCCAGTGCTTCCAGGTTTTCCACGGTGGTCTAGCTTCAGTCGACTCATGATTTCAATAATTATTCACTCAAATATTCTTTGTTTTTTGAATTGTTATATCTAAAATGAATATGTCGAATTATCAAGTCCTCAACATTCCATATTATATTGAAAAGATAATAATAATAATTACATTATTATTATTATCGTTTACTAAAAAATATCATGGTTATAATTTTATATATTTGCATCGTATGATCAATTTACCTTAAGAAGAGACAATATCAGTTGAAATTGATAAAATGATTGTTTGTGATACAGATTAGCTTTATTGAGAATGTCATTAATTGCTAATTAAATTTTTTCGAAATAAAATGAATGTATTCATACTTGTGGTAGTAAATATATAAGAATGACTAAAATAAACAACATCAGCAATAACCTGTTGAGGCACAGAACAAACCACCTTCCAGCTGAAGAGGAGATTAAAAAATTATATGAATTGCGGGAAACATCTAACTAAATCACGAGGCAAACACGAACTTGAAATTCTGAAAGGAAAAGGAGAAGTGGAAGGATAAGGAACATGTTGCATTGTTATTTGGGAGCACACATAAAAAAAGAGTAATAACTGGAAACCATTGGAGAAGAGATCTCAAGACAGAGTTGGATGAAGGGTCCTTGTGTGCAGTCTTTGCTCCTCCACGAGAGGTAACAGGCGTAAGTAAAATAAATAGTCATCTTTTTAACCGATTCTTCTAACTGTATGGATGATTTTGTAGGAGGTTTGTAAATTGTCATTGGCAAGTTCATTTATAGTTTACATTACTTCATTATCAACTTCATTTTTCCCTCTTAATTTTCATTTCAAATAGATTTGAAAATTATACAAACTGATGCACTTACACTTGGTCAAGCCCTTGATGAAGTGGCAAAATATGCTTTATCACAAAACTGTATTCAAGGAAATGAACAATATGATGTTTTACGCGCTATCTTGTTTGCTGAACGTTGGCATCCAGAAGTTAAAGGTCATATATCTGATGCAGCTGAATTCGATCAGTATTGGGCAGGTAATTAAGAAGCACTCTTTTCGATTTTAGCTTTTCAGTTTATTTGATTCAGTGTTTTGTAAACATCAGATCTGACGATATCATTACAAATAAAAATAAAGTGACAAGTTTAAGGTAACAGTTTGTTCGTAGTTGTGAAACGATTAAGAATGTATCTTGAATTATAAAGTATAAATATAGTTTAGTTTCTTATTAAACTAAATAGACTTGTACTGCAATATTTTTCTGCAGATATTAAATTACATTTTGTACTGGAATTAGTGTTCAAAGGACAAAATCACTTATAATCGACAGGTTAAGTGATAGTTTTCTCATCTATTTGATTATTTTTTATCAAAAGGAAAAACGAATATAATATAGATTTCTTCATTAATTTGCTTATTGTTAATCGCTTACTTAAGAGATCAGGTGAAACTTAGAATCATCAACTACTATGGTAGTTAGAATATGTATTTTAAATGATAAACCAGCAACCACTGTAAAGCTTCCTGGAATCTATTCAAAATGTGTCACCAATTGATGAATTCATTGACTTCTGACTTGTGAAGTGTGATACAAGGCGAAGACTATCTGGTTTATGTTTGCATAATAATTTTTTCATAAATGTTAAAGAGTTTTAAGTATTCAGGTTGTAATTTTTGTCAACGGCGTTAATTAATTTATTCTTTCAAGCCGACCTAACCTTACTTCATATCATGGAATATAACACATTGTAACAATCAACTAAACAATGTGTTACTTATTAGGGACATTTGAGCTTATCAGTAATTGGTAGGGTAATCGATCAATTAATAATACCTTTTTATGTAGTGGTTACTGGATGTTATTAATTTTCAGAAACCATAAAGTAATATAAATTAACGAAAAGCTCGTTTTATGGAGAAACTATTTAGATTTGGAATGGAACAATGCCATGTCATAGACGTAAATTTAGTCTGTACTTTTAGACATATATATGTGTTAGGTAGTTTCATTGTCATGATATGATGACAGATGTAAAGACAAGTGCAAAATAAAAAAAACTCTGAATCTTCTAAAGCAAATAAAACCTAAAAATAATATTGGACGAATTTGTGAACAAAGCATCGCTTTTTGAACATTGATTTCAGTTTACTATTAACTTTATGTATATATAAAATATTAACAGATTGTTTTTTGTTTACGTTTAAGGAACTTTACCGGAAGGTATCAATCCTGTAAGTCATGGTATACAACTGATATTTCTGTGATCATTATTTAAAAGTATTTCCAGTTAGCATTTATTAATGGTATCGACATTATTATCATTCTAATCATTACATTGTTATATGCTCTCTGTAAAACAGAAAGACATCACATTTTGTTCACTTTGTTTACTTTAATCAGAACATACTATCTCTGGATAGAATAGTTTACCCAATTAGAAAATTCTGTGTATAAAATTTGTTCTAAATCATAAGTAAAGACTTAACAGTAACTAATATTTAATGAATTGAATGACTTGTGTATAGTTTTACCTCAAGAACTGGTTACAGTTTGAGAAACACTAAACACAGTGAACAGATGAGAATAATTGTTACATTATGATACGAAAATCGTTAACATTTGTGCACCTAAGAATCCACAGAGTTGAAATTGACAACGGCATATTCCACATTATCTTTAAGACTTGACGTCAAATGTGTTTCGATTCTCAGCTTCATTTATTTAACCGCAACTGTTTATCTAAATTTATTTAGTAATGTTAAACCACCCTAAACAACTATGATAATTTTTTAAAAACTTATATTTAACTATGTAAGAATCAAGAGACGAATGTGGAGAATAAACAAAATACAAAAATGGGAGAAATACGATAATTGTTTACTCAAGTTCTGCTACAGACTCCACCACAACCACTCTCGCTACCCTTGGCCATCGATATAGCGAAGTCTGTAGCAGAACGTGGATAAACAATAATCGTATTCCTTCCATTTTTGTATTTTACTTATTCTCCACATCCGTCTCTTGATTCTTACATAACTACTATATTACTGATTTTGATGTTGGTTTGTTCTCTGAGCTGGATGGTTTGGTCGTGGAGCTATCATCGTCCTTCTGAATGACATCATCAGCACAAACTTCGGGTAGAAGTGACGATTTATCAAAATATTTTGTTAGTTCCTTTTTATCTTTTTTACATATTATATTTAACTGTTACATTGATTGAATGAAATATGATGTTACAAATATATGGAAAACCTCTTTGTCCTCATGGTATTTCCTTAAGAAAAAAAAACGTAAAACATTTTCTTTTTATTTATCACGTATATGACTATTTTCATAAAATTAGGCTTATGAAAATGATGAAGGAAAATGGACTTTAAAAAATTTTCAAAGTAAATTGGTAAGTTAAAAGATAAGCAGGCAAAGAAAAACAGGATGACAAAATTAAAAAAAACATGTCAATTACTGATACTATATACACATTGCTTAAATTAATTACAGCACTAATTCTCTATATATTACAAAAGCTGTTTTATCCTACACTTTGCGTATGTACTTTCTTATCTATTTGGGTTTTCATTAATTCACTGTTTTCTATAAGTAACCACGGAATCGCGTTCATTCAAATGCTTGCTTAATATTTGATTTTGACCAATATGATTCAGCGGAAGTAAAGAAAACCCAGTTTTTTTCACTTTTCATTCAACAAAACCGTCATTGTTTTCTATGATTTAAACAAATAATCAAGATTGCTAACTGAGTGCTTTCCGCTTCATGTTATTTGTATAGGTTTCTGTATGCTTAGCTTACTGCTTAATAACGTTTTTATTGTTATATTAGTTTTTGATAGTTTGATCACTCGTTGCTTTTTTACGAAGGTGTTCAGTATGAATAGAAACCGAAGTACTTCAGATAATTTGTAACCGACAAAATGTTTTGAAATTTTATAAATAATTGTATAGATAAGTGAAAGATTAAATAAATTACAGTAGAGAGTGTAAAGCGTACTGAAACCATCTGATAGTTAGAGTTTTCAAAAATCCCACCAAAGCGTTACTGACAATTTCCTAATAAGTAAATGGAAGCTATTTTAAAATCTTCATAACTTATTTTCATTGGTTAAAAGATCAGTATGATTGCTTAGGATTTAAACTTGTTACAATTCATTATTGTGACTGTATTCAAAGATATTTAACGGCATATGGTCTACCAAATTAAAATAGTTACTTGGATTAAATCTTTTAGTGTTCATGTACTTTTGTGGATTTGAGATGGTAAATTCACTAACGTTTAATGAATACTTTCATAAAGTCATACTAAAAAAAATAAGTTTTGTTTTTCTTGTAGCCATAAAAACTGAATAATATATTTTACTGATTGTTCATTTTAACCATCATTTATAAGTGACATTGTATGTTATAACGTTGATACTTTTCTTTATAATAAAATATAAATTAGGTTGATCAGACTATCTAACCTCAATTTATATGAATATTCGTCAAGGTTAGAACGAATAGCTTGACAAAAATTGAGAGCCGAGTATAGAGAACTCATTATATGTGTAAAAAACTGTATTTGAAAAAGTCTCAGCTATTGAAATTTAAATAATTTCAACGTTTCATCCATCCAACTTGTCTGGACATCTTCATAATCATAATCAAAATCAAAATCTTCATGAAGAAGTCCAGACAAGTTAGCTGGACGAAACGTTGAAATTATTTAAATTTCAATCACTGAGATTATTTCAAATATAATTTTTCACATATAATGATATCTAACCTCAATTTTCGTAAACTTTAGCAAGTAACTGTTCATAACATTCTTGTCTATAAAGTCTTTTATACACTTGTTATTCAAGTCATTTCTTGTGATTGTAATCATCACAGTGTAGATATTGGGATTATTTTACACTGGAGTTCATTGTTATTTATACATCATTGAAAAGTTGAGTATAGGATCAATCTTTTTTCTTAAATATTTATTGTTTCAAAGTTACGGTAATATACTTGAACTATGTCAATGATCAATTTACTAGATTGGGTGATTTGCACTATCTTTAGTGTAATGAGTTCATTTTTTTATACTTTCTAATGCCTACAATCATATTTATGAATAAAGAATGTATTTTAGGTTAGTTCTATAGGTAGTTATGCATGTGACTGAACTATGAATAACATTTTAGTGAATATTTACAATCATTAATGCTTACAAATGGAAATTACTGTGATCAACATTTAAAAGTTCCTTATACCTTATTTAAGATGTTTTGTAGGAACTCAAGGTAGCAACATTAAGGTTGTGGGTTTACAGTAATTTTCAAGCTAAATGTATAGAGATTTCTTTTTAATAATGTTATTTACTTTAGTAGTCGAATTGTATTTATTAGTTATTTTACTCAGAATGGTCTACGTTAAGATTAAAAAAACGTTTGCGTTATTGATAAGCAAATCCAAATTCAATCAGAAATTTCGGGTGTTGAATTACGTTACTTAATTGTCAAAAGAAACCAAGAATGAAAATAGGATGTAGAAGAGAGATGTCAAAATTGGTTATATACTTCAATATAAAGCAGATCGAGGATAAGACGAAAATATTCTCAATATGACTTCATGATAAGAAACTAGCGCTAGGACTGAGGATAAATAAGGATTTGAACAAACAATTTTTAAACATAAATAGCAGGCTTAGATTGATGAACTCCAACAATCTCTGCTATAAATATATTTTTCATCAAACTTCAATTTAAACCAGATGATTTAACTTTGTGAATACATTAGAATGAAGATTCTTCCGAAAAAAATAAACTACCAAAATCGACTACATGTTTCATGATAGAACTATCCTTTGATTTACATCCACCTATAGATGACCATGTTTGATATCATTCGCATATACATTTAAAATGATCAAGATATATAGGGTCGATATATCTTAACTGAATAGTCTACAACATAAATTTATCCATCTTTTGAATATTTTGATTGCCTAAAGTATCTTTGTAAATGACTCAACAATTTACTTTCCTAGTATAAACTGTTATACATATAATAATTATAAGAAAGATGTTTTGCCTATTATTATTATTAATGACTTTATTCAATATTGTAATCTGGTACAACATAGAATGCTCAGCACGCGTTATTTCAACAAGTCTTTTACCAAAAAAAAATGAAAAAATAGAAATGAAAAAAGGTTTAAGAAAGTCTGAATCTGTACAAATTATCGAATTTGAGCCATGCTTAAGAATACAGGTGATTTACTAGATCAACTCTGACAGCATGTTCATCACAAAGTAAATTTGCTAAGTAAGGTATTACAGAACTTTTATAGATTTGCTTTTGTGTATAGATTTTAATGTATTTACGTCTCATTCTACCAGAAGACATACAAGGAGAAAGATATGAATGAAGCGGATGGTTAGTATCTGATAAGATAACACCTGCCAAGAGTTTGCAAGACTTAAGATGTTTATCCACAAGCATATTAATAATGACTTCAAAAGATGAAAGTAACATCGACGATAACAAAGCTTCCTTTAGTTAATTTTAAATGTACCTGCTACAAATAATGTTCTTCAGATGGTTCAGGGAAAAATGTTTTGTTTTACAAAATTAGGATTTCTTATTTTAATATTATTTCTACATTTTTTTCATATATAGGAATCTGCTCGATCATCCATTTCCTCATTATCATTTGAAGTTAAGGTTTGTATAGTTTCTCTTTTTAAAAAAAAAATTAAGCAAAGAAAATATAAAAAAAGAGAATCCAATCTATTGTCTAATTTATTGATTGAATTTTTCACCAATAGTTTTACTAATTCGATTGATCAATGTTTTTTTCTCTCTGAAATGATCCAAATGATATTCTTCACTAGATCTAATTATTCAATTTATGCTTATTCAGATTCAATTTAGACTTAATCATTATTTTCATATTAGTTGATTCATACACATTTATTATTAGTGCACTTAAATAATTCTATTGATTAGATTTGCTTGAGTACTTGAATTCAGTTCGATTGCAATTATGTAATCATTATGTCATTGTGATTTTTGACATGCCTTGCGGTTATAGCTTTGTATGTGCTCAATTAAGAAGCCTGGTCTATTATTTTTCTTATTTTTATTTACAACCATTGGATTCTAGGCTAGAACCCTTTAAAAAGGTATTTTGAAATGGATAAACAGTCAGTATAACTAACCTTCCGAAACGATTTATGAATTTAATATCGTTTTTAAACCTGTACTAAATTAAAACTTGTCATTGGTCTGTAAAGTCGATATGTGTTACGCTGAACAATGTTTCTAGGTTCGGACTGCCTGATTGAAGCCTGAGCAATTCACGTAACCTTTGGTTGCAGACTTGAAAACACATGGCATAGAATAGGTCATAGTGGCTTAGATGAATTCGCTTTTAGTCTTCCTTCAGATTTTTAATTTGTGAGAATTATGTTGAGCATTTTAATCCCCACATTCATTCTTTCTCCTCGAATCATATTGCTTGTGCCCAACGTTTTCTGCTACCGCTGATGCTGTTACTATTTCTTCTACTCTGGTATTTTTTTGGTAGTTTTATCATACTGTATTGTGATGGTGTGGAAACTTAAAAAGATACACATACGTCACATGTTTTACGTTGTGTATAGCTGACGTACTAGGTAAATAAATCGTTACATACAACTATTTGTGTATCAAACTAAGTTTCCTCGTGAATAATGACATTTAATACTATTCTTATTTAAATAGCAAGTTGCGGATGTTTGACAAAAATGATGTATTCTTCCCACTTTAACAATATCGCAATGTATCAGAGTTGAGTCATAATCTTTTACACTGTTCGACAAAATTCGTTTCCAATATTCGTTGTCTGTTACCGTATCTATAAAGTTTTTGTTTGTCTTGACCAGTGTGATAACCTTCGTCTCCTCACTGCATTATCAAAATTTATCTGAAAGATTAATTGTTTTAAATTTGATTCAAATTTATCAAGGAAAAATAAAAAAAATTTTCCTGCTGCTAAGATGGTTGTTTAGTTTAAGGAATTCAATAATCGTTTCATTCAATAATATGTGTTTTGGAAAGTTTTCTTTATTCTTTATGATAACTGAATCAATTGAGAAGGTATTGATTGTCTTTCTAAATAGCATCATAAGTAATTGCTTAAGGAAAAGTTAGGCCACTATGTATGCTTCAATAACGTTGTCATGTAAGATGGTAAATTTTTAAAAATAAAACCATGCAATTTAAATGATCCAACATTATAACTAAGGTTACCATTTTGCCCTACATACCCTCTACATTATCTCGATGTATTTAATCCAACATTTGCTTGTTTCTGAACAATACAGATTAATTATTAGTCAAATTAATGTGTATACATCACAGCGGTAATAGTTTATATATATATACATAACCTGTTATCCACAATGAATAAATCTGACATAGCTGAAAATCATTAGCAAACCATATATAAACATTATTATTTGTATTTTTTTCTTTCTATATTTTGGACTACCTAAACAGTTCCAGGTTAAGTGCTACTTATTTAAGTATTCTCTCTAAAGTTTTAAAAAACGGACTAATCATTGTTGTTTGTTTAAAAGCATAAAACCACTATTTTCTAAAATCAATAATGTCCTCATTAGATTGAATATAACCGGAAACTCACGTGTACACCTAAATGTTAAACACTTTTTCTCTCAACATATTTTACACAACGACAAAGTATAATGTTTGAGAATATTATATTCAATATTTATTTAATTATCATTATTTGAACTTACTCTCACTGCCTCTCACTGATTTGAAATTTAATATATATATATATATATATATATATATATATATATATATATATATATATATATATATATATGTTGAGATCATGAGTCAATTGAAGCTAGACCACCATGGAAAACCTGGAAGCATGGTGGTCTATCTTCAATTGACTCATGATCTCAACTCTATAATTACTAAGATCTTCACAAAACCCCTTCTGATATATATGTCTTTGATTCTCTCTGAATTACTAGTTTAAGTGTGAAGAAATAAATAAAAGCAATAACGTATTATTATTACTTATGAACCGAACATATAAGGTTCAAGTTTAAACTACCTTGACCAAAATAACGTTTCAACCTATAGCTTAAGTGAAGCATATGATCAACCTATGAAACATTTTTTATTATTTTTAATTCAAAGCTTGATATAGATTTAGATAACTAAATTAATTAATTTTGTTGATCTTGCTTTAAAAATTACATTTTAACAAAGTGTTACAATTTGATATTATCATCCTTCATTCTTTGGAATTATACTATGGGCTAGTTGTTTATCGTTGTCTTCTGCACTATCCTCACTGTACTAATAAGTGCAAGTTTTCTTGGCTTTATGCATAAGGTGTGTCCAACTCAACAAATTTAGACGCATGTTGCCAAATTAAGTGTTAAACGGAATATACCTATTGAGACATAAAATAAAAAAGATTGATTCATCAAACAGTTCTCTTTTCGACGAATTTGCAGAAAACTAAGTGTTGTCCTTAGATCCCAATAATACATAGGTAATACCAACCATTTGGCAAAAAAGGATTGTCAGTATCCTATTCTGAAATTTTAACAGGCGTAAAACAGGATTTTCTGCCTTAGAAAATCATTTACTGAACTTTTTTACAGAGTATTATTACGGGGATATCTAAAGGTACCTATCATACTGGTTCTGACTTTATGTACAATAATCTTGTCTACCACACTAATACCGGTCCTCACGAGATACCCAGGTATAAAAATTTCCTATTATTTTCAAACTTGGAAATAATAAATCATTAAACTTAAAGATGATTACTAAGCTTTAATTTAGGACATTATACTTCACAGATTAGATCGACAGTTATGACTTTGGCTAAGGTGAATTACTATCTTAGCATAGAGACCTTAGAATTCACTTAGTATTGTTTGTTTGAATCTTCAAATTGATGTTAAGAACTGCGATGGGTCAGTCTCTTATTGACATATGTGCATACTGTGCGTAGTGCCTCAATATTGCCTGAAGTCCTAAATAACAATAGGAAGATACAAGTAAACAACATCAAGTGAATATAACTTCACCCCATTGTACAAGCAGGTGGCTATCAGGACTCAGTAGCTAGGTGGATAACGCAATGGCGTTTGAAGCGAACGGTATTGAGTTCGAGTCCCAGAGTGAACATCAACTCTGAGATGCAGGTACATCTGGCTGACGAGTCCCAAATAACACGAAACTTGCGTCGCGGATCCCAATACTAGCCACTATCCATCTTTGCTTATTAGGACTTTAGGTTTATCTGAAAATATCATTAAACGGTAAACGTAAACTATGTATCAGACTTTGACTATTCGAATCCCTATAGATTTAGTTGGTTTTGTCTGACTATCACAGTCACATTTATGTGGATTATTTTAAAATCTGTTTTGTAAATAGCAGGAATTTATGTTATGATTCCAAATTCATTATTTTTAAAATTCTTTCTTTAGGTTGATTTATATTTCTGTAAATATTCTAGATTGTTCACGATAGCTTTATCAACTTTCATATTTGATTAAGACGTAGAGAAATATAGTTTAAAAGATCAGTGCGTAAGTATGTTATCTAATCTCTCAGTGTCACACCATTGATTCTTATTTAATTTTATGCTAATTATTATTTTCAGAAGGGGGTTTTGTAGAGATTTTAGTAATTTTGCATAGTTGAGATCATGAGTCAATTGAAGCTAGACCACCATGAAAAACTTGGAGGCACTGGACGGCCGTTTCGCCCTATCGTTGGACTCCTCAGTACTGCGCATCCACGATCTTGCCTCACGAGATTTGAACCCAGGACCCACCAGTCTCGCGCCTATTGTCAAATGCTTTATAAAAAATATTGAGAATATCGGTAAAATTGTCTCGAATAGTTTTCATGTTGAAATAAGTGACTACAAATACTTATTTGTATAGACAGAAAGCAAACTTTTGTTAACAATTTATTATCAACTATCAATGGTTAATATAACCAGAGTGAACTTATTCTCTTTGTTAATCATGTGTTGTAATTAAACAGTACACTTCTTTTTACACAATCTAGAAACCAGCCTTTTTACAAAGAGCATCTGTGGCAGCGATCGGAGCTAAGGTGGGTTATGGTTTCATTTTATTAACAAAAGTATCCTTAGTTGAGGTGGAGACAAGTATTACTGTTATTTTTTCGATTTATTTGTTTATTTTTTTCAACAAATTATACGAATATTTCCATGATTTCCTTTATGTATCATTTCGCAACAGTCTTGAAGTATTTAGAGACACTTTATACAATCAATGTTTTCAAAATCAAAACAGCATTCTTGTATATCAGTGTAATGTTTCTAGTAGGAACGAATGAGTTAGTCAATGCCATTAGAAATAATCTTTAAAATGTTATCTGTTGGTTTCAAGCTAAATTAGTTAGCATATGGTGATGTAAAAGTAGGTTACCTTGTTTCTAAGGTCAGATTTCCACTATTTCTAACATCAAGTTTTCTACTGCCTATCTCTGCTATATTATTTTCTTTAAAAAGATAGTTTCTTAAAGACATTTTTTTCAATTCTTACATATATATGGAGCCCAATTATAATATTTATATTATTTCAGATAAATCAGGACAACATATTCATATGGTAGGGAATTACTGTTTTATAAAAGATTCTCACTTTGTCAACTGTCAATACTCTTTCTTCTATATCAGTTGGAACTTTTAAGAAATTAATCCTGAAAATAGTATCTACTAGTCAAACGTTATAGCAAAAAATCAGACACTTTCTTCGCATAGTTCATATAGTTGCAAGATAGAGAACTTTAGTAATAATGAAAAGCAGTACTACTTAATACAGTTATTATCATGGTGAACACAATTTTAAATAATTAGAATAAAAGTGAAGAAACCAAATAATACTAATGTTGCTTATAAATCTCGTCAATTATTTAAACCTCATTTGGAGTGCTAATTTTAAAGCCGTTTGTGAACTTATTGTCACTTGGAACTAGAAATAAGTCCGTGTACTATTTCACCACAGCTGTATTACATGTTTGAGGACTTTCTGCCTTCCATCCAGGATACCTATATCATCATAATAAGTACCTATCAGGGTAATAATAAGTAAAATCTTGAAAAATAAAATAATAACATTCTTCAGCCCTATAGAACACTAAATACACTTAATCATTATGCAGGATTAAATATAAAGCTAAATCTATTTTCCATTATCTTAATTCTATTTTATTTTCAAAATGAATAATCAACTACTAACTAACTACTTGTTTTTATTGATTTCTTCTCATAATCACCTATGTATCACCTCCTTTATTCTATAGAAGCATATTTCTATGACAAGAGCATCTGCTTCAACGAATGATTTTAAACCAAAGGTGGGTATTTAGTGTATATTGAGTGTATAAGTCTAATGCTAACAATTGCTAAAAAAAATATGGGACTTTTTTGTTGAAAAAAAGATAATGTATGTCTGTGCAATTTAGTTTAACTATTCCTAATTATACAATCAATCAATCAATGATTTCTTGATCACGTTTTCAATAAATTTGAGTTTGAGTATCAATTTTTTATATAAGTAAAATGATTAATGCTTCCGAGTAATGTAGTTATATAAGTGTAATGTAACTTTTAGTGATTTCACTGTAAATTTTATTAAAACAACTTGTCAAATCTATGTATCAAGAACAATCTCATCATGAAATGATAAATACTTACTTACTTACGCCTGTTACCCCTCGTGAAGGAGCATAGGCCGCCCACCAGCATTCTCCATCCAACTCTGTCCGGAGCAATCCTTTCCCGTTCTTTTTAGTTGTTATTTATTCTTTTCATATCTGCTTCTATTTCCCGACGTAATGATAAATAACGAATGATAAAATACAAGAGAACACACATTTTAAATACGTAATCAATGCACGTTTAAAATTGTGCAGGAGAATGAACCTTCTGATGAGTACTCCATAAATTATTGTCGAAGTTCTACATGGAAATTAAATAACATTAATTTAATCTGTGCTGGACTTTAGACGATTACTTGAAGATGATTACATCAATATATGAGATAGAGGACCGTCATAGTTCAATTTATAGTTTAAAGGTAGTGAGTCCATGACAAAATCTGATGATCATGTATTCAGTACCGTATGGATATACTATCATGAAAAATTGTAAGTATAAAATGTCTCTTCCGTGCTTTGCAATCTTGTAAATGCCCTCCAGTCGACATCGACTCGTGACTTTACTTAACTTCAAAATGTACCGATATCGATACATCATAAGATCAAAATCTAGAGATGTAATTCTTTTGGATTGATCATATTGTTAATGATACAAGATTAAATATATTGATAAACTGATTTTAGTCAGTATACTTGAATTTCAGAAGGGGATTTGTGGAGATTTCAGTATATTTCAATGTTGAAATCATGAGTCAATTGAAGCTAGACCACCCATAATAGGACGAAACGGCCGTCCAGTGCTTCCAGGTTTTCGATGGTGGTCTAGCTTCAATTGACTCATGATTTCAACTTTGAAATATACTTGAATTTATCTGATTTTTATGAAAGTTGGAATTGTTCTGTCTGTTGGTTTAAATAAAAGTATATATGTATATATTTTAGACTGGTCAATAAACACGAACAACATATTATCAGAGGAACACAGTGTATATCGAACAACATATCCGTTACTCTTTTAAAAATATTATCTAAGATGTATAGAGATGATTATTTAAATGCATAGATAATTAGTCAACGATAACTGAATTCAAAATAAATACTTTCATATGTTTTATTAAGTCCAGTGTAATAAATTTTGTCCTGTATTAAAAGGAACGGTCTTTCCTAGTAACTATTACATTCCGTTCTTTTTAATGCTAGGCAGTTTTAACATTGTTTTATACTTCCGAACCTGCGTCTGTAATGGTTTAGTATACAATAAGTCTACAATATATAGTTGTTTGATTGATAACCACATGCTTGCTAGTCATTAAAATTGTATGAGAATAGTAAAACACTCTAGATTTATCGATTTATAATTTCACAAAATAATTTAATCACTGCTATGAGCCGAATGATAGATATTTATATCTGTTCGGTGCTTCTAGACAATAGCAAGTTACTCCGGATTAGGACTCCTTGATGAAGAGAGCAAGAACGAACATTGGTGCAGAATAATACGCACCAATCTTCGTTCTTTTCTCTTTAAGGTAATAAAGGGAAATATGTGTATGAGATTCCATGAGATTTGACATTATTGAACGGAATTGCAGATATACTTTGCTGGTAAGTATCATATAATACATAGATGTAGATACATGGTTTTCTGTGTTGCATAATCTAAGGTTTATCTTCATGTCAATTCATTAGGACTGGTGTTAGCACTACAAATTCACTTATAGAATTCTATTATCACGTGTAGATTAGACAACACGGTGTTCTTAAATTCAGAAAAACCAGTGAATCAATATTTGTTAACTATTATGTCATTACAATCATTGTCCAGTTTGATGATAATAATAACACTTATTTCATCTGCACTTTATTTTATTATAACTGTATCGTAGTTTATAAGAACTTTCTTCTAAATTAGAGCGAATAGTTTCACAGTGTTTGGGTGCTGAGTTGATGTGAGACATTAAATAGGAATAATATATTTGTAAAATCTCAGTCAATGAATTTAAAGTAAAACCAACGATTCGCCTGACAATCTGGTCCAAGCTTTTTCAAGGACAAGATTGGCAGGCGAAACGTTGGATTTACTTCAAATTCATTCGGTGAGATTCTACAAATTAATTATTCCTATTTAATGTATCGTAGTTTGTTGAGGATATAATTTATTTCATACAGTTTTTTTTCCATTTCTAAATTTCACTAAAACAAGAGTAATTAACGGAGCACAGTAATTTGAATTCATTATACTTCACACTTGCTTATCAGCTGCTCACATTCTAAGTATAATAGTACTAATCAGTAGAGCTTCATCTTACATAATTTATATTAAAATATCGGAAAAGTTCTAATCAGTGAAGATTTATCAAAACGGTAAGCTGTAGGGAAGAACTGTAAGAGATATTTATATTGCTATATCATATGAGTATTTATATGTTGAATATGAGAATACTCTTGAGTTAAAAACAAAAAACATACATACAGAATTATTTAACAATAAAATAATAATGCTATGATTATGTAAATCTTAACATGAAATCTGTCAAAGGAGTAAAGATCAGATTAAAAAAAATGAGAGTCATTATTCAAGGTCACGGGCAGAGGAATTCATGAATAGCTTCATCACAAGAAAACTGAATCTTTTAGGATGCGTAAATTGGGTTTAAATATTTCTATGGCAATCGCTTCAGAGAACCGTAGTAAATTTGACCTCCTCTGTTTACTAATTAACTTGAAGGACTTTGAGACATCAACATTATAGCCACTGTCAAGCAGATGGCTTACAATATCACTACTGAAAACGTACTGAATTGCTAGTTTAATCTTTTACGGAGTGTGGTCAGAGATGTGGATACTAACCATACTTCCTGTTCTTTCGATATATGAGCTTGGCACGTACATGTTAGGTACAACCGGAGGTAACATAAAGCTCGAATTTATCTACGTATAACTTTCTTAATAAAAAATTCGTTTGATACAGAGGGATAAGCTTAAAAGTTAGATGCATCCTTTTTATTATAGCCTTTAATCTGAAAACAATTATTCAATCTATCTCATTGTTCTTGAATCCAAGTCTCAGGAAGATAGCGTTCTTCTTAACCATAGCATACTCCATTTCTCTCGCTTTTGTCTACTTATAATTATAAATTCTTGAGAATAACCATTTATCATATAAATATCTTTCAGCTGCGGTTAATTCCCAATCTATTTTATTTTCTGAAAGTAATCTTCTGACACAATTAAAAAGCGTTCTAAAAAAACTCGTTTGTAGCATAATCCACAAGATTTATTAATCTTTAAGGATAATCCTATCCATTCATCCTTTCGATAAATATATCTCTCAAATCAACTATTTCTATCATGCTTTATACTGAAGTCTAGAAAATGAAACAAATTGTTATGTTATGTTCCATTGTAAATCTAATTTGCATTTTTGGCGTAAAAAGGAGTAATCTGAAACTTATATGAGCTCAGCAATTTCGAAGACTCTTCCGGTTTCCCACATTGTCCGGACGTTCCATGTACCTATAAAAATTGTTGCTCTAATTGTTAGAATATGCATCGGCCTCATGACTTCCGAAGGAACTCGGCTTTCATCATGGGGCGTCATAATTCTTCCTTCAACTATCAGGTCAGAGTTTAAATGGTTTGAATAATTTTTTCTGGTTAGCGTTTTTTTAGCGAGTTGCTTTTCTACGGGATTGGGGGCCCTAACCCCATGCTCAACCCTCCTTCTTTACCAGGACTTGGCACCGGCAGTAGCCACCAGAGGAGCTACACGCAGAGTTACTTATATGAGCTACAAAGTCATATCTATATAATTTTCATTAAAACTTACACAATGGAGTATTTTTTTCACTTTAACTGTCCATCATTTTGTGCTGAAGTTATTTTCAGAGATTTGTTTTATTTAAAAGAAATTTAGAAAAAGAATTTCAATGAAAGAATATGTATATGCACAATATACGCACACAAGTGAAAATTGATAAAATTAATCAAATATTTTACCTTTTAATTAGTTATTACATAAAGGTGAAATCTTATTTCCCGGTATTTACAAAAAGGGATGTTTTCTAAAAATAACTTTTTGTAATAATGCTAATATAATTGCTACCACATTTTTTTCCTGTAAAATTGTTGTCATGGTACTACAAACACAAAACTGTTTTTTTTCTATCCAATTTAGTATAACGTTAAATTATGTCCTTACTTATTCGAGGTTTTTTAAGCGTGTACATGCATTTCATATCACTTACAGTTCCCACTTATTGATTTTTTTTTCTTTTTATGCATGCACAATTATCCCCTTTATTAAAGTTCCATTCTCATTTCATTATAGATCTATAATGTTTATCTTCTGTGAATGTTTTCATTAATAGTCATTTAATGTCATTGTCTGGGTGATGGTATTTGTTCAAGTGAACACCAAACATAATTTTTTTAATAATCGAATTATGTCATTTTATGAGTATCTGCACATTGAGGTTTAATATGGAGTTTGATCAATAGTACATTGTTTAATCGCACATGAGTGGAATCCGGATTAGATAAACACTTATTATTTTACGGTGTAATTCATTCTTCATCTGAGATCTTTATGAATGCAGATTCAATTTGAGGAAATATTTATATATATATATATTCAACAGTTTTTCACTTCACTAATTTTTTTCAGGAGCAATGTTCAGTTAAGAGATCATGTGTATCATATAATGATCTTGGTTATAAGGTTGGTACTATGTGTTTTGTTTTTCTCTTTTGACAAGTCGGAACCTAACGAAGATATATGATTTTGCAATATTAACAGATAACTAACCTAATCAAGCTATCGATCTAATTTGTATGTTTTTACTCAAAGCTTTGATTTAACTGAACTATTCATGTTGTTCATAATGGAATAATGCATTTTAAATCATGATTTATGATTAATTTCTTCGAGTCATTGTATTCATCATATATGTATAATGACTTATTATTGTAATTTTAAAGGTACCATACGATTTTTATTGTATCTCTATTAATAATTTCCTAGTAATTTCTTATAATTGATTAGATTGTAAACTTTTTTTTTATCTTAGTTCTATTTACTCATTTATATCAGCTTTCTCTAGGTAGTAGAGAACAAGGATCAAGTTCACTTACAAAAGCGCTTAGTATACACAATGAATGTCAACATCCATATCATCGATATAATCAACCATTAACTAATTGTTTATCATCTGGTTCTGAAGCATGTACTGTTATTTGTGGTTTAATTGAATTTTTAAAATCACCAATTCTTGTATTGTTAAGATTAAATAAAACTATTCAACGTTCATGTATTTCTGAAGTGGATATTCCAGTACGTTTTATATTTATTTATATTGGACCACAAAATGATGAATTAAATTATGCTGAATTGGCTCGTATATTTGCAGTAATGATGACGAATGATGTAAGTTAATATTTTGATTAGTTGTTTTTAAATGTGGTTCCCTTTTTCGCGAATACAGATGGTAATACAAATGAACAGGTTGTTTTAATTATTATGATAAACAATTTGATTTTTAATCACTCAGTTACATATTCAAATCTCAGTTCACTTTCGTTGACTCATATCAAACATCCAAGCTACAAACTGAATACTTTATGTTTGAGTTTTATTCTACTCAACGTGTATACATGAAACTGTTGTTTGGCCTTTTTGGAAAACACTTTTTTTCAGACTACATATCAATGTGTTAATGAAATTTTACATCAATTTACAGACAAACATATGTTTCTTCTTAACATTACATGTGAAGCATTCACATAAGTATAACAACTGATTTAGCTATGTAATTTCTTACGCATGATGGAATATAAATGGAGTGATCAGCTGATCTGTTATTGAAATATGACATCATTTAATGTATAGAGGAATACAATTTAGAAGTGTTTTTTTTCTCTTCAATGTAGGATTTGAATAGGTTGATTTATAATGGATGACAAAAGTTATATCTCATTTTTAATAATTAATGTTTACCAACTGATAACTTCTGAAAACTTCATTTCTGACATGTATACACACAATATTCATCAATTTCAACCATGTACATCTAATATATCTTGTAATTTTCAAGAATGTTTTATACCCTATAAACAAACTTTTTTTTAAATCTTATTGTTGGGAAATAGAATAATATACTCTTAGGGGTTTTGTGGAGATTTCAGTATTTTCATAGTTGAAATCATGAGTCAATTGAAGCTCGACCACCAGAGAAAACCTGGTAGCACTAGACGGCCGTTTCGTCCTATTATGGGACTCCTCAGCAGCGCGCATCCACGATCCCGCTTCGCAAGCGAGATTCGAACCCCGGACCTACCAGTTTCGCCCCAGAGCACGAAACGGCCTTCCGGTGTTTCCAGGTTTTCCATGGTGGTCTAGGTTAAATTAACTTATGATATCAACTATGAGAATAGTATAGTATAGTACTGTATTAAATATTGTTCGAAGTTACTTTTCAGTTAGTTGCACTTTCAATTTTTTAATCGAATTTAAAGGAAAACTGTATGAAGATGGAATCGGTAATTCAAAATTTGACTTCATGACAACAATATTTTCATAATAAGGGGAATTGAGCTGCAATTTAATACAAGTCCGTCGTTATACAAGTGTTCGTGGTTTATCCTAGATCAAAATTCCTTTTAGCTATGTATTCAGATCTTACAGGAAGCATAATACCGTTAGTGATCTTTGTCTTCAATGGTTCTCTAAATGATGACAATTCTTGAAATATGGTTGTTATACTGTATTGTCGTAAATTCATTAATTCAAAACATTTGTTATCTCAGTTATTGATAACAAAATAGTCTAGTATTTTCAATAAATTTCCATTAGAACAGTTTTGGATTGTATTATAAGTTACCTAAAATAAAACATTATGCTGTTCTAAATTGTCTGGAAGTAAAATTATCTCTAATTCACTTTGATGTTCATTTGTATAGTAACACTGACAATTCTATTCATATTTAATTCAAGATTTTCGTCGAAGGGGTAGAAATCATTATGATGTATAATCATATCAGAATGTGTCAACAAGTGTAATTATGTGAACCATTCCCATAAAATATATTATTTAAATATGAGCTGAAAATGCGCTAATGATTGCATTTAGATAAACATTTATTGCATAACAAAAAAGGTGATAGCAAGTTGACATTTATATGAATCATTTTAATTGTTTACTAGAACAACAGATTACTGTGTAATGGCAAACAAACTTAATCTCACTAATAGGTATTTGCATGTCATAATACTTTTAGTATTGGAAGAGGTATGTATATGTACTGCTGATTTTAGTTCTCTCAACTAATTTCAAACTGTATCGTTTTGCACCTGGTTTCTTTAATTTAATATGAACATTTAGTTATCATATAGGTTGTGTTTACCAATTAAGTCCAGTCTTTAATACTAATCAATAACAACATACTACAATATTTTATATATGTTGAAATAAAACTGGATTTCACTTCTAGTCCCTATCCATCTTTGCTTACAATGCTTGTGAAATAAGGCTATATCGAGGCAATAAGCGCAGTACGCACATATGCCAATTAGAGACTGAACAGTTGCAGTCCTAAACATCAATGAGAAAATTGGAAAAAACAATACTATGTGAATGTAAACTTCACCCCATTGCACAAGCAAGTGACTATCAGGACTCAGTAGCTGAGTGGATAACGCGATGGCGTTTGAAGCGAACGGTACTGAGTTCAAGTTCCAGAGTTAACATCAATTCTGAGATGCAAGTACATTCAGCTGACGAGTCCAAAATAGAATGAAACGCGAATCCTGGATTCCACTGCTAGCCACTATCCATCTTTGCTTACAATGTTCAAATAAATGTTTAAATTTGACATTGACGTTTCTGTTAAACCGGAAGATGGTTTGTGGAGATTTCAGTATTTTCATAGTTGAAATCATGAGTCAATTGAAGCTAGACCACCATGGAAAACCTGGAAGCACTGGACGACCGCTTCGTCCTATTATGGGACTCCTCAACAGCGCACATACACGATAATGCACTCACGATATTCGAACCCTGGGTCTACCAATGTGATCTATAATCATATGCTCACTAGTGACTGACTTCAAGAGATGTTTCCTTGAGTTCTAGTAGGAAGCAGTGCTTATATGTATATATCGCCAGAGACTGTGCAACAAACCAAAAACTACAAACTATTATAAAAAAAACATGATATTTTTTAAACGTTCTGTGTTGCAACTTAGTTTTCCTTTAATAATTGCTTCAGCAGTTGAAAGTACGAGTCGATGTAAGCTAGATCACTACTAAAAACCTGGAAACTTTATATTCTATTCCACTAATTTTTACACTTCTTTAAATTCATATTCTGCTTGTTTTAAATTCACCTTTTAATATAGACATTTCGATTATGCGTTTACGACTCAATTTCTGTTGATGATATTATAAAAGGAATTGATAATTTTATGCAAGATTCATTTGTTATGCCACTTTCACGTCATTATAATGCTAATGCTCTAGCTGGAATGACACGTCAAATTGAAGCATATAGAAAAGAAACAGTCTGTGAAAGAGATGGTGATCGCCGTCCAAAAGGTATAATTAATTTATAATGATATTTTTATAATATTTTAACACTATTCATGAACCTAATTAATATTTAATGTTGTCTGAATAACTGATGTGTAATTCATTATTATGAAGCTTTATAAGATGAGTCAACAGTAATTAGTACGTGATTAGCGTACGTGTTTATTTAGTGTATTTGAAATAATAATTAACTTGCATGATCAGTTTTCTTTTCACTTAATGGAAAGGCTAATTTGAAAGTAATATCCAATTTTAAGTTAATTTATATCACAAATTGACTTAAGCTACATTACCATTAGCAATCAAGAGACATTGAACAGTTGTTTTACATTTGTTTTGGATCCATCACATGTGTTGACCCGCAGGTTTGTTTGGTCTCCTGGCGAACTCTGCTCAGTGATCTGAAAGTAATGTCTTTTCTTTGAAAACTAATGGTTTTACATTTGATCTCTGGCAGTGTTACCAATTCGTACTGACGTGGAGTCCAAAGCTAAGATGAAGTATCTGTTCAGTGATCTATGATCTTGATTAGTCGTCTAGCTAAAGTCATTGTGGTATGTAAGCTATCTTCAGAGATAATCTTCGGACTATTTAAGTGTCTATGTGGTTTAGTGATAAAACCTGCAGCAATATTAACAAAGGATTATCTGTAATTGAAATTCCCACAGTTGTTCATAAACATGATCATGTTTGAATTGTAAATAATTACTAAAGAGGAAAGTGAAAATTTTATTTGTCTAGCAGGATGTTTGAAATGAATAAGTTAAAGACCGTTTTAATTTCATATGTGTGCCTGGGATTTTTCAGCACCTAAAATATATAGCCTACCGTTTTCTGGATACAAACTATTATACTAAACTGGAAAAATTGAGTTTAGTTCTGCGAGACTGTTGAGGTGTGTTGTTTCACAAATATTGTTAAATCGTGGCTTTCATTTATAAAATTTTCTTACCAAAAATTAAATGCTTTCAGCTATAAACAAATTTCTTCTTAGTAGATGGAAATACACATCGATACACCCTATGAATGTGTTACTCTACAAGTTATATATATCATTATCTTGAAAACAATAATCTCATGACAGTTGTTTTTAGGATGTCAGTAGACTTAAAGAGATGTCGACTTTTCTTACCACGTTCATTTGAAAGACTAAAATTCTGATGTCACATCTCTGAAATAATTTATATCGTCTACTCAAGTCAAATAAAATTCAGTCTTCTGAGAAGTAAGATTTACTGACAGCTTCGGAACAATCGTATTGGAAATATTTAATATAATTCTTATGTAGACAGTCAACTAAAAAGAAACAAAACCATGTTCTGAATAAAATTTACTAACCCTATTCAGATTATCACTGACTGTTCTCAAGGAACTCTTAGATTCTAGATTTAAGCTCACTTTTAGTAGTCTATTTTTTATCATCAAACCATATATTCCGGTGTAATTCATGACTAAGTGACAATAGCTCGGGGTGTGGCCCCCTAAGAAAACCACCTGCATCAGTTTGGGCACCTGGGCAGTATCACATACCTCACACAAATCAAATGAGATTTGTGAGGCGCATATTTATCTGGTGTTTTATTGTACCAATATGTATGTGCTTAAACAAATAAATAAATAAGTGACAACAGCATATGAAAATTATTCTGTGTATATGTCGAGGCAATACACACAGTATGCACATATGTCAATTAGAGACTGACCAGTTGCAGTCCTAAGACATCAATGAGAAGATTCAAACAAACAATACTAATTGAATTTATTCTGTGTATAGTTAGCTATTCTTCGAAATCTAAACAGTGATCATAAACTACAATAGGAAATATCAACAAGCATTGAAAAGAAGTTCAAAGTGATCATGACTCTTTCTGAAATAAAAAAAAAAGAAATTTGTCAAATTAAAGGTATAATTTTGAATGACAGTCATAGCTAATTTGAATTTCTTTGAATTTTAGTTTAAAAGTCACTTGTATGTAAAATCCGGCTGAAATTAGAAATAAAAAAAAATTAAAAAATCTAAAAATGGAATTTTCATTTATAGTAAGGTGATAGTTAGCGTTTTTTTTAGTGAGTGGGTTGGAGAATGCTGGTCTGCGACCTATGCTCCATTGGGAATAACAGGCGTAAGTAAGTAAGTATAGTGAAAGTATATATATATCAACAAAAAAATATTAGAGACAATGAACAATTTCGAAAAACCATTTTTCATAAATATCAATATTCATGAAAATTTATCGTCAAATAATCGAACACCAAAAAAAAACGAAACTTATTTTTATACACAACTCAAAGTTTCATTTAAGAATAATAATGATGATCTAGCTTCAATTGACCCATGATTTCAACAGTGAAAATACTAAATTCTCCACAAAACCCCCTCTGATCTAAGAATAATAAGTCAATATTTACATGTTCCTTTACTTCGATATGTTATTCTTACTATAGTGCAAGTAGAATATGAGCAAGTTTAAGAGTAGACTACATTAAAACATGTTCATAAATTCATTAACTTTTGGTTTGGATGTTTTAAAGAGATACAAACTTTTTGTTTGTTGATTACCAAATTAATCGTAATATCCAGTTGAGTCATTTAACTTTTTCTAGATCTCCTTATTCTGAAGATTGTGTTATTCAGTTTCTTCTTGTATTTTACTTTCATTTGTTTTCTTATAATTCTCCACCTTTAAGGTTTTATATCTTTCTTCTTTTTTATCAACTTTCTTTTCTTTTTCTCCCATCACTGACGTTTGCTTACTATTATGTAACTTGTCTCCAAATAGATCGATAAATACTTTGCGAGTTACATTAAAAAAAAATTAACATTTGATATATACTGGAATGTCACATCTATTGTTTATTCTGAACAGTTTTACTCCTTGTTAATTGATTAGTTTTTTTTTCTACTCAAATGTTTACTATTACTATATCAACGTTATAATGTATCAAAGCATAAAACTTTATTCCTACATTGAACAATGCTGTTAAATTTTCAATACTGTAATATTTTTACAGTATATTTATATTTGCTAAATGAGATAAGCAAATGTGAATTCAAGAAACATAATATGTTTTCATTCAACTTAGTATTGTTTGTTTGAATCTTCCCATTGATGTTTTAGGACAGCAACTAGTCAGTCTATAATTGGCATATGTGCATACTGTGCGTATTGCCTCTATAAAGCCATCTTTGCTTACCATAACATATTTATGTCATGGATTATTTTCAGCCACTTACAGCCTCGGAACGATAAATGTATTGCTTTTGAAATATATATATATATATATATATATATATATATATATATATAATTTATGTCAATCTGACAGAAAACTGTATTAAGATTAGTCAGCAAGAAACTAACAAATATAGAATTTGAAGGTTCTTCAAATCATCTTATTGTTGATATTAAGGTCTGTAGTTGATCATTTCCTCTTGCCATACTTACATTCTGTCTGAATCGCCTTGTGGTAATAGCATCAGTTCGCAAGCTTTTTAAGCAAATTAATTAGTGGCTAGTAATAAAATTCCCGTTGTATACATTAGCGACTAACTGAACTTAGTAGCTAAGTGAATAATGGCTTAGGCATTTGGAGCAAAAGTGCCTAGGTTTTATTTCCGATTTAAACATCAGAACTGAGGTTCCAGTACATGCAATTCACGAGTTTCATTAGGAAGAAATAAGTGTTCTGGATTACATCGTTAGCCACTATTCAACTCTGTCTAAAATTACACAAATTGTTCATTTCAGTGATTATTTACAAGTTTAAAAGAGAAAATTCATGGAAGTATAATAACAGGTTTATAGCCAAGGACATGGCACCAACCATAAAAGAGAATAATTAGTAAGGTTGGGTGAGACAAGCTTAAAAAAAAGAGAGTAAAAAATATTATGAATGACGAAAGAAACTACAATATTATAGATTTAGTTATTGACCTTAATTTTGTTGCCCGTTAAATATGATTTACTTTGGACTATTTTATTCTTTTTATAATTTTTTTTCCTCTTCTCGTTATCTAATCTTTATTCACTTAACCTCACTGAGCAGTCTTTTGTACTAAATATTGTTCTATGTGTGACATTGATTGTTCATATCAGAACCGTATTGTGTTTTTTATCCTTCTGACATTTTGTTTCTAGGATAATATTCATATAATATTCATATATATTCACATAACAAATAAACGATAGGGAATATTAAAATTTCTTGAGAGTAGTACACATTTTATGCTTTATTACTAATTTATTTCTTTTTCATCTCCGATGTTGATCAGAGTATATCTGTAAATATAATCTAAAGTCTTTAAATTTGTCTTTAACAAATGATACTACTATATTTAATCTGCAATTAGTTGAAGAAATTCGCAAGTCAAATCAATGTCATGCAATGCGATTTTATGATGTACTATATGAATTTCTGATTGTTCACGGTAAAAGAAAAGAATGTCTAATTGACAGATACTATCTAATTATATGATGTAGATAAGAAATTAAAACTCATAGAACATAATTATTGACTTTTGGTACTTCTTCCCATCCATTTGAAATGATAACAGAAAATAAGACAGCTGTTCAGTAGATTGGGTTTTTTTTTCTGCAGACACATAAAATATCGAACAAGATCATAAATATAACTAGACATTAGTTAATAAATAAATGATTGAAAAATTTGGCGACTATAGGCCGTTCTCTCTTCAAAATAATTAATACCTGACTATCAGGCTTAATTCTAACCCAATCTTATCAGTGGATTAGAATTCGTCGTCTACCATTCATTATTATTATTATTATTATTTGAACACAAAATATTGGTACAAAGGGGAACCAGATACATATGCGCCGCACAAATCTCATTTGAATTGTGTGAGGGTTGTGATACTGCCCAGGTGGTTTTCTTAGGGGGCCACAAATGGGGCCTTTGACCTCGAGATCCGATCCACAAGGCAGTGGAGCAACGTCAGGAGATGCAATCATATGGTAGCCGGTGACCAATGATTGATTCATTCGCCTTATGTTACTTAAGGATATTGGAGCCCATGTGCACCATTGGTTTGGAATCAGGGTTTTTCAACTCCCGTACGTGGATTTTCCGTGTCCACCAACCCGGTTAAAACACCGGACATTCGCATTTCGTCCTCTCAATTTTGTAAACTACGCCATTGCCACGAGAAGTCAGTGAGTAGGACTTCCCTGTCAGAGGCTATGTACGCGTGGCCATATGAGAGCATTTTGAGAGGGAGAGTGGACTCTCCCCACTCTCGGCAGTACCAGGGCATTTGGGGGTCTACCATTCATTGTTTTGCTGTCGTAATATTTATAAAACAATGAAAGTAGAAATTAATGGATCCTAGCAGCAGTATCTAACTAATTATTGTATGAAATTTGTGTGTCATAAATGAACTTGCCAATTGAAAGAATTTCCTTTTTTTTGTAGCTCTTGTATTTTTCTTTTCCTTTTCATCACATCCATTTGTTTTTAGATAAACGGAGAATGTGATAATGATTAACTGATATATTAGTATGTTATATGGAAACTTCACCTTTGTTTACTTCGTTTGCATCTTCCATGTAGTTCTATGCATCCTATATATACATATATATATTGACTGTATTCATTGTTCATTATCTCTATTCGATAATTTACTTATCACCTTAGTGTAACCTTTTACTCAGTTGTACCCTCATATTCCCGTATGTATACACATATAATTTTCGGATTTTCAAATTTCTTTCAAATGTAGAAAACATATTTGGAAAAAAACAATTAAGCTATATGTACAATTACCAATGCTGGTTTAATTGTTTGTTGTTTTTCGTCTTGATTACATGAAATAAATTTCTTGTTATGATCAACAATGCATTCTCCATGTTTTGAAATAACCCAAGGAAAGTATTCAGAAATATAAAGATCAATGTGTGTACAATTTCCTTATTTCCTCAAAAAAAGTACATTCAGGTTGAGTTAAACTGATTGATTATTTATAGAAGTGGCATTAAAATAAATTAGGAGTTCAACCAGACAGGGATCGTTGATGATATTTCATCACAATGAAATTTAATCATAGATTAAATGTTAGATATATGAAAAATTTGATTTGGAAACCAGTAGCCTAAATGTTATGTGCTTGATAGAAAGTCCAAAAGTCCTGGTTTGCAGAATTTCCAGGTCTATATGTTCATAAAACTAGGATAAAATAGTTATCCGGTCCTATGAGATTCAGTGATTACATAATTGGTGCTAATCTATGACAAATGGCATCTAAATTTGTGCCCAGTTAGAATTCCTGATGAGCGGCCTATGCTCCTCGACGAGGGGTAACAGGCGTAAGTAAGTAAGTAAGTAGAATTCCCACTTATTTCGCTATTATTATTTAATTAGATAGAACAAAATATTATTATTATACAGTTAAGTTATAAAATGTTAGTCTAAATAGTCAAGTAGTATTCCAATTAAAGATTCATTCTTCCTTTGAACTGAATAACTTTTGTTGAAGTACATCAACAAACTGTATATCACCAAAATTAATGGTTATTAATCAGCTACCATTATGTATATCATGACAACTAGTTTTTCTCAAAACAAAATAACGTTTTCTATTCTTATTAAATTAATCAGTAATATTAATAATTTAATTTCCAGCATGAAACCTAACTTTCTTATATACAGGTTCATTTGCAGTGAGAAAATTGACTGAACAATCACAAAACAATTTAGTCAATGGTTCATATGTTCCATCTTCACTTAATTTAAAACAACAAACTGATAATATTATTAAACCGGATAATGATAAATTACCTATTCCATCAAATGAAATTGATACACCTAAAATATCTAAACGAAAATTATTTTTACGAGATTTTTGTCCACCATTTATTGAATTATCACGTGGAATTCGACCATGGATAAAAAGAATGCCAGGTGATTATAAAGATGCAATAAAAAAAGAAAATTTCAGTATTGTTTTTGGCAGTGTTCTATTTATCTACTTTGTCAATCTTTCACCGTCTATTACATTTGCTGCATTATTAAGTAAGTTTGACTATTGAATATTCGTAATTCTATTTCATTTATGTTGTTTCATAAATAAACTTTTGTCTTAAATCTATTATGTCTTAATAAATAATTTATTTATAAGCAAAGATGGATAGTGGCTAGCAGTAGAATCCAGTACGTGCATTTCTTCCTGTTTGGGACTCGTTAGCTGGAAGTACCTGCATCTCAGAGTTGATATTCACTCTGTCAGGCGAACCCAGTACCTTTCGGTTCAAACACCATCACGCTATCTACTCAATTGCTGAGACCTGATAGCCACCCCATTTCACAAGCAAGTGGCTGTATCGAGGCACAGTATACACATATGCCAATTAGAGGCTGACCAGTTGCAGTCCTAAACATCAATGGGAAGATTCAAACAAACAATACTAAGTGAATTTATTTATAAGTTTAAATAATGAGTTAATTAATGTAGACAGACTCGAAAAATCCTTATAATAACATTTCACAAAAGCCTAAAAGTCATAAGATTGTGCGATTAACAAAGGTATGAGAAAAGGAATAAATCAATAAAACACCCGACCCATCAAGAAGAAGCAGAAGTGTAAATGTATTCGTATTTTTGTAATCAATTTTTCAAATTACCAGTCATTATTCCGAAAAGTCAAAGTAATCAGTCTGGAAAGTTTGTGTTCTCAACATACTATACTATTTTAAATGTATATTTTTCAAATCTTAACTTTCAAAAAATTTGAAAATTAGTGACTACTTTCCGGAACTAATCTAGATGTTTAAAAGTGAAGAAACAATCAACACACTACTGATTTGAGCCTTTCAAATCACTTTGTTTCTTTGTGTTGGACAACTTATTTAATTAATATGCTAATACAGTCTAATCGTTTGATAATTTTCACTCTTTGTTATAGACTTACGTTTTAATAGACATTGCAAAAGAAAGAAACTTCCCTTATATTTGATCTGAGTAAAAGCTTAAGGAAAGTTGCTATATTTTAAAGTTAGAATATTTCATATTGTCTTATTCTGTGAGTTATCCTTTGACGATAAGATCCTTCTATTTATATACTTGTCTTAGCATAAGTTTACTTGGCAATAATTATATGCAGTTTGTAAGGCGTTTATATAGATTTCCAGGTAATAGATTTACATGGAACCGTAGTCACTGTTAAAGAAACTATCTGTCAATTAGTCTAACATCAAAAAGAAATTCTGCTAGCTGTAATTAGTTTATATGAATAGTCTGAAAACGCGACTACTTCGAAATAAAATTCTCAGGAAACTGATTGCACATCAGGAATAGGAAATATTCTGTTGTTCTACTTGAAGGTATTCAGCAGTTCCTTACTACTTTGAAATCCACTTTGAGTATTTTAAAATGAACAATATTGAACAGGCAGACGCTCTACCTGTTGATGCTAATCAGTTTGGGTAGTAAGTTCGGTACTTTTTGTCGATGGTTTGTAACTATCTAACTTGTTTGATGACAGAAGTCCACAAATATCAGCTACGGTTATACCTCAGTTTTGTAACCAAAACTTGGTTCACTTGTTTTTTCAATAATATCCACTTATATTCTATGTTAAAAGTTACCCTAATTTTTTAATGGAATCGATTTCACATGATGTCATTTAATTTGTTACACTAAATTTGCTAACCCAATAACAAAAAAGAACATACCTCTCACTTAGCTATAAAATATGAAATTAGGTTAGAGGATATTCACTTAAACCTCATGTCTTACTATCATTGAATAGTTAAATTGATAAAGAAATGCTGGAAAACATCTGTTTTATTAAAAAGATATCACATTTCTTATTCTGCATCACTAGTTTTTGTATTTCTTACAACCAGATAGAGTAATCTGTTTTTCATTAACAACTTGTATTTGTTTCATTGTCGAAATTTTGGTTCAGTATAAAAAATCGTTTACCTAAGGAAGATTCCATAGAACAGTATAAGGGGTTAATGAGATTAGTTTGGATTGTTTGTAAATGAAAAATGAATATAATATAACGTAGATAGTTAGATCATATACTACCATTACATAAAGTAGAAGAATTGTTAGTTCAGTCACTAGTGTAAATGATGCCCCATAGATATTTGAAGAGTTCAAGGCTAACGAATAATTCACAAAAATGACGATATTTTTATTTTTCCTTATAAACATTTGGTGACATCTTTTGAACTGGTTGCTTCAAAACATTTAATTTTTCTCTAAAAAGTTCCCATTATATTAAAACACAATTAATATGAACGAACAATATTCTTTTCAATAATTTCTCATGAGGTTCTACAATTATATATCCAAATTTATAATCCACAGAGGAAGATTGACCAAGTTTAAGGCAGAGTACATCAATTTAAGAAACTGTAACATGTGAATCAAGGAGTGTTGTTTGTCATATAAAATAAAATCGAATAGTTAATGTTGGAGCTGACTGATATGAAGTGTTAACTTGAATCAGTTTATAAGTGAAATAAAATGGTAACATAAATAATCAGAATATATAAAGTTGATATAGGGTACGAGAGAGAAGAATGGAATTACAAATCAGAAATTACGTAATATGTAGAATAAAATGAATTAGGTCAGATATAGCAATTGCTATTCAGATCAAAAAGTCAGAGCTTTGCATCCAAAAGAAATATGTCCAGCCGCTCCTTTTACCCTGGTCAACTTCAGGATCAACTTGTTAATAATCAATTTCATTATATGGTGACAATAATTTTGATTAATATTCATTTTTATATCCTTAACTTATTTTATCTAAACATCTTACCGGTCATTATTATTATTATCACATTTGCTAACCTTTTAGAGAATATTTATTCAACATCCATCCCTATCTACTATATCTGATCTAATTCATTTTATTCTACATATTACGTAATTTCTGATTTGTAATTCCATTCTTCTCTCTCGTACCCTATATTAACTATATATATTCTGATCATTTGTCTTACGATTTTATTTCAATTATAAACTGATTCAAGTTAACACTACATATTAATCAGCTCCAACATTAACTATTCGATTTTATTTTATATGACAAACAACACTCCTTGATTCACATGTTACAATTTTGTTAAATGATGTACTCTGTCTTAAACTTGGTCAATCTTCTTTTATAGATTATTAATTTGGATATATAATTGTAGAATCTCATGAGAAATTATTGAAAGCAATATTCTTCCATCATATAATTGTGATTTAATTCTTCATTGAAATGATACGACAATTATTTAACAAAGTAGATTAATCTATCTGAAATGGCGGTTGTTTTTATCAGAAATAATTATTTAAAATGTTTTTGAATAAAAACCTCATGCAGCTTGTTATATCGAGTGAGTGCATGCCCTGTTAATATATGACGTGAGAAGACCGCCAATTAGAGAGGAGTGAATTATCGATCGGAGCAGTGGTACACAAAAGCCGTATGACCAGTCTTGAATACTTATCAGTCCTGCTTTCTGCCTAGCCCAGTCAATTAAGTTCAGAACACTAATAACAGCCTCTGCAATATGAATCATTATTCTCAAACATACTGGGTTTATATAGCAATCAAACAGACAACATCGTACCATAAAATAAGAAACAGCATTTGTACAAGATTTGGCCAAATGTGGCTGTGAATAGGAGTAACAGTAATTAATGGACTAGGGATAACTCATGAATGGTAAATCGTATAATAATAGTCTATAAGTCGAAATGAAGCTTATAACAAGAGGAACACGTATATGAATAGTTGAGTTACTTAACAATTATACAATAAGAAATATACATATCACTCTGGTCGATAAATAGTCCTCAAAAGTTACCATCCATAAATCGCTTCGGGATATAACACAGCTAACTTTTTAGTCATTTTTGTGTAATTCATCTTGATGTAAGTATTTCGTTAACCCATTTAAGGAAACAATTATATATTATATAATAATATATGTAATATATAATATTCATATATATTGTTATTATATATTGAAATAGATTCAATTATAAATAAAATCCTCAAAAAAGGAATTATTTATGCCAAAAAAACGAGATTTTCTAAATAAACCTTCATATTGAAATGAATCAGTAAAACATAAAGTACATAAAACACGTGATTTGTTCTAGTTTTGAACATTTCAATACTTTTTATTTACGATATTTCAAATCTTCATTGTGATACTCCATCATTATTCAACAATTTTGTAAAAGAACTATTTTCATCTATATATGTTTAGTTGTCTTTTATATTCTATAAGCTATAGTTTCTAATCAACACATCAGTTTATGAACTAGTAATTTATTGACTAACTTTTAATAATTCAAAAGAAATATTCATTACATTGTAAATATGATGAGAATCCGTTAATAAAAAAGATTGAGTAATTAGCTAAATAATTATATACTTGGTTATTTATTCTCTGAAAAATTGGCTTACAATAAATCACGAAACGTTAGATAATCTAATTTTTCTACTCATTGTGATTATTTATTTATGTATTTATTTAAACACATAAATATTGGTACAAGGAAGCATCAGATACATATGCGCCATACAAATCTCATTCGATTTGTGTGAGGGCTGTGATACTGCCCAGGTGCCCAGACTTAAGCAGGTGGTTTTCTTAGGGGGCCACACCCGGAGCCTTTGACCGAAAGGTCTGATCCACAAGGCAGTTGAGCATCGTAAGAAGATGCAGTCAAATGGCAGCCGATGAAAAACGATTGATTATTATTTTAGCAAAAACAATAGGTGATAAATATCGTAACATCCAGGACGGATCATTGTAACCGGTTCAAGATAGGTTATTTCGATGGCGGCCAGTTAAACTGTGTAATTTTTCCATATAATCGAGATTGTTTAGGCCTAATATTTTAGGTTGAGTTTTTTAGTCACTGCTTTTTTTCGTTTTACAGTGGGCAATTAACCAAAGGTTTATTTTAAGAAATACTATGATTTACAGTAACCAGATTCCATTCAAACATAATCGGTTAAGTGCTCTGATGCGAGACTGGTAGGTCCTGGGTTCGAATCTCGCGAGGTGGGATCGTGGATGCGCACTGATTAGGAGTTCCATACTGGGACGAAACGGCCGTCCAGTGCTTCCAGGTTTTTCATGATGGTCTAGCTTCAATTGACTCATGATTTCAACTATGAAAAAACATAAATTTATCTAATTTTAGTCACTAAAAGTTAGTTGTCTTAATTCAGTGTGTTTAATACTCGTAAAATTTGGTCTTCATGGAGTTTTTTATCAGTTATTCTATTTCTACTTTATTTTAATCTGTTAGTATGATGTTTCAGATCACATTACTATTAAGTCTAGTTCGTTTATTTTAAAACATTCAACTGTGAATTTAATCCATTCCATTTGTTTCTGATATAATACAATATGGAATCACAAGGGGGGTTTTTGTGGAGATTTAGTAATTTTATAGTTAAGATCATGAGTCAATTGAGGCTAGACCACCATCGAAAACCTGGAAGCACTGGACGGCCGTTTCGTCCCAGTATGGAACTCCTAATCAGTGCGCATCCACGATCCCACCTCGCGAGATTCGAACCCAGGACCTACCAGTCTCGAGCCGGAGCCCTTAACCGATAGACCACTGAGCTGGCATCCAACGGTATCTACCTCAGTACATTGGAAGTTGGTTGCGCAATTTCGTGGATTGGTTGAGGTTAGACATTAACACCGTTGGATGCCAGTTCAGTGGTCTATCGGTTAAGGGCTCCGGCTCGAGACTGGTAGGTCCTGGGTTCGAATCTCGCGAGAGCGGGTTCGTGGATGCGCACTGCTGAGGAGTCCCATAATAGGACGAAACGGCCGTCCAGTGCTTCCAGGTTTTCGATGGTGGTCTAACCTCAATTGACTCATGATCTTAATTAAAAAAAAAAAACAATATGGAATGTTAGGGTTAACCTTTCAAATATTTGGTACCAATTAGTCAAAATAAATAATAAATAATGTAAATGGATTGATTTGCTATCTTTTAATTTACTTAAACTTATCGAACTTTTATGTTAACCTTTTTTTATTGCAGATACACAAGTTGACCCTTCCTATACTGTGACGTTAACTCTTTTAGCAGTTGGAGTTTTTTTGATTATTTTCACTATTTTATCCGGTCAACCACTGGCAATTATTGGTATCTCTGCTCCTATGTACATTGTTGAATCTTCCTTAGTGTCGGTAAGTATTAATAGTATTTCATCTTTGAAATGTATTACAAGAACATTTGATTTCCAGTTAGATTTCAATTCTAGGATTTAATTAATTAATTTTTTAGATAATGTTGACAACATTTTGTTTACTTAAATGTAAATTTCTTAATACGATAAATGCGCGTGCAACATTTAGTCTTTAAACAGTTTGTCTTCAGCCTGAAGATACCTTATGTGCTGAACGAATTTAAGGAGGATTATGTATGAGGATTTAGATGTGAAAAAGATGAACCGACAACTCAGTAGGCACATAATATGTACCTACATTTAATAATGAAAGCAATTGAAATCAGTTGAAAATAACACAAGCGTGAGATCAAAAGTATCTAATAATCAAAATTAGAAGTTGATAACGTAAGGTTTCGAATGTCTTATGTGTGATCTGTCCGATTAATATACAAAATGATCTGGAAAGGTCGTTGGTTATGGGAAAGGTCAAATAAAATATCAAATATACCGTTCTTAAACGCCCGTCATTTGAATCAGTTTACTCTTCGTACCCTATTTATCATCATTTTTTGATTAATAAAAGATTTAATATCGTCATAAATACATAGTTTTCACAAAAACGAATGACATTGAACCTGATTATACGCGAAATTCTGGGTCTTAGTCTGACAACTACTTCAAACTACTATCAGCAAATTTAGATATCGTTGATTTCTTTTTACTTCGGAAATGTTAAATAATCATGTAGGTGAATTAAAATCTGAAAATATAAAGCAGCTTTACAGCTGCATTCTGAGGGAATTTCTAGGTTGCTTTGAATGAAGAAAATAGACGTGGAACAAGTATCTGCTTAAAAATAAGGAGTAGCTAGAAAACAGTAAGGTTGAGGTTTACACATTTTATGAACTTAGTTCACACATTTTTCAAACATAGTAGGTCTTTTTTTTGTTATCTATATTTTATACTATTGTTCATAAATTTACAAAAAAGAATACACAATGGTGAGGTAGTCGCTAATAAACAATTTGTACAGTTGTAACTATCAGTTTTAGTCCTATTCACTGATAGACTTTAATGTCGGTTGAATTTTCAAATCTTATTGTGATGAACGTCATTATCCCACTGTATAATCTAAGTTTAAACGTTTTATTCCGAAGAATGAGTGAATAAGTAAATTAAAATAGAAATTTCATAGCAGATGATCATCCATTTATTGTTAAAGTGTAAAACACGTATCACTTTTTTCAATGTATGCATGATTTTTTTTCACTTTTATTAGCCTTGTATATATTCAGCTGTCAACTACCTCCTTACCAACATTGTTCTACATTTTACAGCTGTATAGCTTGGTTTGCATGATACATATGAATAGATTTTTTATAGTTGTTAACGATGAGATAATTTATTAGTTAAGAGTTAGTTTCATGTATATTTTGATTATTTCACACATCTGGTCTCTATTGATAATTGCAAAAGGAAGTAAATGCTATAAGATTAAAACAATAAAATCTCTATCATGATCATAATAGTCATAACCTCACCTTGGTAGGCAGAGATGGATAGTGGCTAGCAATGGAATCCAGGGCGCGCGTTTCGTCCTATTTGGGACTCGTCAGCTGGATGTACCTGCATCTCAGAATTGATGTTCACTCTGGGACTCGAACCCAGTACCCTCGCTTGAAACACCATCGCGTTATCCACTTGGCCACTGAGTCCTAATAGCCACTTGCTTGTGCGATGGGGTGAAGTTTAAATTCACAAGCATGGTAAGCAGAGATGGATAGTGACTGGCAGTGGAATCTAGGACGCGTGAATCGTCCTATTTAGGGCTATATCGTGGCAATACGCACAGTATGCACATATGCCAATTAGAGACTGACCAGTTGCAGTCCTAACAAATCGATGGGAAGATTCAAACAAACAATATTGAATGAATTTATAACCTCACCCTGCCTATTTTAAATGTATCAGGCAGTCAGTTAACCATTGGCTAAATTGAACCTGGTACATACATGTATCGGTTCAAGTTCCCACATCACATCATATCAGAGAAAAAGAATTATCAAGACAAATAGCAAAGTTGTAGAAGAATTAGCAGTATCTACAGTAGTAGAAAAGATTAGTTATAAACATTATTATTTTACAAAAGTGAATAAAAATAAAGAGCAAAACATAAAAGGTAATTTTAAAAAAATTAGATCTGAGGGTTGGCAATGAATAAATCAGTAACTATAATGGGTGGTTCATAGTAATACGGCACTGAATTCAGACATAGAGGTACTGCAAAAATGTCCTACAATCTAGTCACGAAGATTTGGGAGGAAGAACAAGAATCAACAGACTGGAGAAAATGATATCTCATCGAAGTATCAAAGAAAGGAGATCACAGCGATTGTGGAAACTACATAGGTATCATGCTACCATTTGTACCATGATACATTTTCAACAGGGTGTTGTTGAACTGGATGAAAGACGTAGTGGACGCAAAAATTCCAGATCAAAAGTTTGGATTGCGTAAGGATCGGTCATGTACAGACTGAACTGCGACATCATGAATCATCGTTGAATAATCAGTTTAATGGAATGGGTCACTATACATCAACTTCATTGACCATGAGAAAGCGTTTGACAGAGTTGACAGGAGAACGTTTCGGAGCCTTCTTCTACACTATGGAGTGAGTAGCTGAGGAGATCGCAAGCCTCATCCTAAATTCATACGACGACATACATTTCAAAGTTGTGCATGGAAGATCGGAGTCAGATAACGCTGCTTACTCTTCCCCTTTCTCTTTCTTAAGGTGATTGACTGGATTATGAAGGCCTCCATATCTGAGGAGAAGCTCGGAATCATTAAGAAGATTTGGACTTATCAAATGACCTGACCCTCCTATCATAAACACACCAACAAATGTTAGTGAAGACAAACACTGTTGGAACAGCCTCTGAATCAGTAGGCCTCAAAATACACAAGGAAAAATCCAAGATCCTCAAATACAACACGGAGAACACCAACCCAATCACACTTGATAGAGAAGCTCTAGAAAATGTGGAATTTTTTCACATGCCTGCTTGAGCAGCTTCATCAACGAAAGTGGAGGATCTGATGCAGACGTGAAGTCGAGGATTGGCGAAGAAAGGACAGCATCCCCACAGCTGAAGAACATATGGAACTCAAAACAACTGGAAAACAATATCAAAGTGGGAATTTTCAAAACGAACGTTGAGGCAGTTCTACTGTACGGATGTGAAAATTGGAGAACTACCACAACCATCATTAAAATATTACAAGTATTTATAAACAATTGTCTACACAAGATAATGCTTATCATTTGACGGGATACCATCAGCAACAGCCTACTGTAGGAGAGGACGAAACAGATTCTAGTTGAAGAGGAAATTAGGAAAAGATGTTGGAAGTGGTTTGGGCATAAGTTGCGGAAATCACCAAAATGCACCATGAGTCATGTTCCAACTTGGAAATACTCCATGCAAAAGGCAACAGAGACAAGCGAAGAACACATTGCATAAGAAAATGGGGTGAAACTTATAAGATTGAATATCAGTCGGAAACAAGTGAAAAAGAGAGTCTAAGACAGAATTGGTTAGAGAATTCTGATCGATATCCCATGTTTCTCCACGAGGGTTAACAAGCCTTAGTGAAGTAGAATTATTATGAGAAAACATTTCTGAATAAAAAGATTCAAATTCTTAAAATTTTAATTACAAATTATATTTTGTTTTATTATTCATGATAATTATTACATTTCCAAAATAGTGGAGGAGAACAACTTTTTTCTTTATTTGTCATCAATATCATAATTAAAAAAAAGGACAATTAAACAAATTAATTTCTATATGAACATGTTTGGTTGGATAGAGTTATGTTAGTTGAAAAAAAAGGGAATAAACGGATTTAGTCAAGTTTAATTTAATCAAGAGAAGATTCTACTTTCGTATCCTTGTTATTATTCCTTTATCAATTATAGATGTATAAAAGGGGCTTTGTGGAGATTTAGTATTTATTATAGTTGAAAGTGTCAGTCAATTGAAGCTAGACCACCATGGAAAACCCGGAAACACTGGACGGCCGTTCCGTCCTATTATGAGACTCCTCAGCAGTGCGCATTCACGAACCCTCTCTCGCGAGATTCGAACTCAGGACCTACCAGTCTCGAGCCGAAGCTCTTAACCAGTAGACCACTGAACTGGCATCTAACGGTGTTAATGTCTAACTTCAACTGATCCACGAAGTTGAGCAACCATTCACCAATTGTCTTCAGTGAGTTGATATCTCACAACAGACGTGGTTTTGAACTCCACTGGTCACTGCTTCTCACTAGAGCTCCTAGATATACTTCTAGAAGTCACTAGTGAGCATATGATTATATTAATTATAGAAGGGGTTTTGTGGAGATTTAGTATTTATTATAGTTGAAAGCGTCAGTCAATTGAAGCTAGACCACCATGGAAAACCTGGAAACACTGGAACACTGTTCTGTTTCATTGTTGAAGAATTATTCCTAATTGAATGATATTATGTATACTGTATATAAATTGATTTAATTAAAAAAAATTTTGGTTATAACATTGAATAATAATACATAATAAATTGTACTGATATGCATAGAAGTGATGTAAATGAACTGATAGAAAATACAATGATGTATTAAATCTTTCCTTGAGGTGTTAGAAATAATTAAGATGTCATGAAGCACTGAATGATAAATAGTCAATTTAGTAGAAAATTCACTTGGTATTACTTGTTTGAATCTCCCCATTGATGTGTTAGGACTGCAACTGATCAGTCTCTTATTGGTATATGTGCATAGTGTGTATATTGCCTTGATATAGCCTTATTTCACAAGCATTGTAAGCAAACATATATAGTGGCTAGCAGTGGAATCCCAAAGTGAACATCAACTCTGAGATGCAGGTGCATCTAGCTGACGAGTCCCAACTAAGACGAAACGTGCTTCCGGGATCCAACTGATAATCACTATCCATCTTTGCTTACAATTA